CAAACCATGAAAAAATAGGTGTTTAGCACTAGAAAAGGTTTTCTCTCCCCCAACCTACTCTCCTGCTGGTAATAGCGTATCTAAAGTGATCACTGTCCTTACAATGTGTATGATAATCAAGGTGGGCCATTTCCAGCACAAATCCAGGGTTTAACAAGAATGTCTGAGGAATAGTGAGGGAGGGGGGAGGAGGAAGGAATAAACAAGGGGAAATAGATTACTTTTTATAATGAATCAACCATTCCCAGTCTCTATTCAAGCCTAAGTTAATTGGAATTAATTTGCAAATTGGATACAATTCAGCAGTCTCTCGTTGGAGTCTGTTTTCGAAATTTTTTTGTTGAAGGATAGTCACTTTGAGATCAGAAATCGAGTGACCAGAGAGATTGAAGTGTTCTCGGACTGGTTTTTGAATGTTATAATTCTTGACATCTGATTTGTGTCCATTTATTCTTTTACATAGAGACTGTCCAGTTTGCCCAATGTACATGGCAGAGGGGCATTGCTGGCACAGGGGCTGAGGCCGTGGGCAGAGACGGGAGCAGAGCCGCATCCGGGCTGCGGTGGTGGCCAGCAGCCAGGTTCCCGGCCAGATGCGACTCCGCTCCCGGCCCCGCCCCCACCCCTAGCCCCAGCCGCGAACAGAGCCATGGCCAGCAGCCGAGACTGGGGGCTAGTGTGGGGCCGGGAGCAGAGCCACACCAAGGCTGGGGGGCGGGAGCGGGAGCCAGGGGTGCGGCTGGGGGTGTGACCAGAGCAGAGCTGGGGGCGGGGAGGGGATGGGTGGCGCTTCCTCCCCGCCTCCCATGAGGGCTGGCCTGGCACTGCTGCACTGCCCCAGCATTCCTCTGAGCCCTCTGGGGGGCACACCCCACACTTCGGGGACCTCTGCCCTAGGCAATAGACTAATCGAACGGGAGATATTTCACAGGGACCATACACCATAGCTGGTTAGCCTTCCTTAATTAAAATGAAACAAGTTGGCAATGTGGAATCAATTACCAGCTGCATCTGCTACCCTGGCAGTAGAAAACACAGAATATGTTTCAACTGATTGTTGCATGGAATAATGTTGCTCCTGGGACAGGGGAGGGTTATATACAGCCTAAAGCCAAAGTTTCTACGAAAGTCAATGCTGAGTAAATGAAACAGCTGCCAAACTGTTCTCTTGTAGAAAAGTATCAGATATCTTGTTCCCTGGGGCAGCTGGAGCTTGCCAAGGCCTGCAGTGCTATTCCAGGTCACACCTCTTATTGGTGATGAAGACCAGGGAACTTGCAGATATCCGAGGCCATGTGAGCATCACAAACTTTTTTCAAACCAAAGCTACACCCCCAACCTCCTCCAGTGGTGTGTGCCCCCTCCCTGGTCTCCTATGAGAAGGGTACATATGTCCTCACCTTTCTGGGTTAACAGAGGGGCCTGGCTGTGAGGGGAGGAGAGAAGAGGACCCTGGTCTAAAGAAGGAGCATGTTGGGTCTGGGCTGAGGCCAAGGCTAAAGGAGGAGCATGATGAGCCTAGGCTCCACACCTGAAGGTAGAAGAGACTCCGCATACAGCGTATTAGGGGAAGGCCCTCACTTTGCCGCTGCCCATAATTTGGGCTCCTCGAGCCAGGATCACTTCTCCTGTGCCTGCGAGGAAAGGGGGTTGGGCTTTCTGGGTGAGGATCTCCTCTCATACCAAACTATAGATGGGCAGATACTGTGGGGGCGGGGCAGGGAGAAAAACCCTGAGAACATTTGTTCCACTAAGAACCTGGCATTTTCCCATAAACATTCATACCAGGGATATTTTGTTTGCTGACAGAGAAAGGAGACTCGTGCAAATGTGATTCTCTGAGAAATGGAAAAGAAATTAAGAGAAAATTATCCAAGCAGCAGTTGCAGCAAAAAGTTTGTAGGGAAATATTTTGGCCTAGGGCCTGATCTAGTGATGTGCCCGGGTCTTTAAATGTGTGATTGGCAGCTCCTGGCTCCCAAAACTTCTGTTTAAACCACTGCTAGTCCAGGGGGTTGGAACAAATGGGCCAGGCCATGCCAACGTTGCTAACATTCAATAGGCTGTCACTGAAACAGAGTAATTGTCTTTATTCAAAATCCAAAATGATTTGTGGGTCCTGCCCAAATGCAGCTTGAGCCTTTATTGTTGACTTTGTTCTGTCTCAGAGAGCATCATTTGGCTAACTCAGCTCTGTTCCCTCTCCCATTGAAGTCAATGGAAAGACTCCTGTTGCCATCAGGGGAGTTGAATAGGATTCCTAATCCATCTCCCAGCACCACCAGTGCAGAATTCTCCTCTCAGCATATTCTCCAGGACTTCTGCTACTGTCGTCTGAAATGTATCGAGACTGGTTTATGGTACTTACCCAGAGCAGTTCTTTGTAATACTGGGAAAGATCATCCCAGTCACCCAGAGGCTTAGTCCATGTTGGTGACAATACCATAATGCTTCCTGGGTTTTTCATCAGAAATCTCAACACGCTTTACAAGGGGGACAAGTATCATTATCCCCATTTTGCTAATGGGGAAACTGAGGCACAGAGCGGAAATGATTTGCTCAAGGTCACATGGTGTCAGTGGCAGAGACAGCACTAGAACCCAGCTCTTATGACTCCTACTTCTGTGATTTAACCACTATATGCCACCACCTCCTACTGTTGCTGTTTTCCCAGTGCTCTGAGACCCTGCGATAATGAGCCATGCCACGGGCTTCCTAATACCTCTGCTATTGCAATCGCCGTAATGCCATGTTAGTGGAATGATGCCAGGTGCTAGCAGAAATAACATGCTCTTAGCTATAATTTCTTAGCACTGCTTCTCTCTGCACTCTGGAACCCAAGTTAGTTCAAGTTACCCTATACTTCAGAAGTAATATTCCATACAGATCACTGTGAGTGAAACACTCTCAAAGTCAGGAAACACCAAAGCTGATGTTGCATGCATGGCCTTTTCATAGAGTTTTAGACCTCCTGCCCGCCTTAACGCTGCCCCCTTGTGCACATGCATTAAGATACAGGGCCAGATTCTCTGGCCCACTAAGTCCACTATGCACTGCTCCAGGGGCATAAAGTGGATGCAGACTGGTCAGTGGAGAGTTCCCATCTCCTGTGCCAGTTGTCCTGTGCACCCACAGCACAAGGGAAAGGAGGGGCCATGGCAAGGGCATGCTGGGTGTGGGTTAGGAGAGGCAGAGAGAGCTATGCTACGCCCAATCCACCTCTGATATAAGATCATAGAGGGTCCCTACTCTTGTACAGCTGTCACTAAGCAGCTCTAATTTACAGCAGAGCTGGGTGGCATAGGGTTAGGTAGCTGCAATCATTGGTATTTCTCATGTGACTTCTCCTCCTCAAACCAACTAAATTCCAATATTCCTTTGGCTGGATGGACTTTCTTTAAGATCTGTTTCTTTACTAAGTGAGAATGTGTGTACAGACTTGTATGTTCCTGGCCTCAAAACTAGCGCTATAGTTTGAAATGGACAAGTACAACTAAATAAGGAGACGTAAAAATGTAGCACTGTTTCCAGGTGCGGTTGCATTACACTGTGATGGTGTATTTAGAGTTGCATGGATGAACAAAGCACCAGTAATTTGATTCTAAAGACCAGTCGGCACCAGCATATTCTTCACTATTGAGAATAACATTGTTACATTTCATCATTAGTATATTTTCTACATGGGGTATTTTTCATAAAGACTTTCATGGAGTTTGTTTGTCTTTGGACTTTGTACTGAACCAGATTAGTGGGTGGGTGAGATTCTGTGCCCTGCATTGTACAAGAGGTCAGACTAGATGATCATAATGGTCCCTTCTGACCTTAATATCTACGAATCTATGAGATGCTACACATGTATGTAAGGCTATAGAAAAAATTAGATAGCATCTTTTTCCCCTAGGCTGGACTTAAAGGTGTGGGCTCGCTTCTGCTTTCCAATACACAACACATATCCTGGCAAATCTGTTTTGCTTGTGTGCACCTGTACAGAGGACCTGGTTTTCACAGGATATGGGAATAGTGTCCAAAGGACTCTTTGCTGCTTTGTTTCAACCATTCTTCCAATACATCCTTGCATATACTGAAGGAAACATCAAATGAGGGAGATACCACAAAGTATCTAATCATAGAATCATAGAATATCAGGGTTGGAAGGGACCCCAGAAGGTCATCTAGTCCAACCCCCTGCTCGAAGCAGGACCAATTCCCAGTTAAATCATCCCAGCCAGGGCTTTGTCAAGCCTGACCTTAAAAACCTCTAATCTATCTATCTGGTTTGTATAATGCCTGCCAACATAGTACCTAAGCCAGGTTCTCAACCATTTTCTTTCTGAGCCCTCTCCCCAACGTGCTATAAAAACTACATGGCCCACCTGTGCCACAATAACTGGTTTTCTGCATATAAAATCCAGGGCTGGTGTTAGGTGGAGGCAAGCAGGGCAATTGCTTGGGCCCCTGTGAAGCTAAATTGCTCAGGCTTCAGCTGCAGCCCCAGGTGGCGGGGCTCGGGGCTCCGGACTTCAGTTCCATGCAGTGGGGGTTTGGTTTTCTGCCCTGGGCCACAGCAAGTCTAATGCTGGCCCTGCTTGGCGGCCCCTCTGAAACCTGCTCTTGGCCCCCCAGTGGGCTCCAGACCCCTGGAGGAGAATCAGTGATCTAAGCGACTCCCAAGTAAATTAGGTTTGCATACCTAGTCCCTAGTGAACTTCATAGATTCTTCTACATGACTGTTTATTAACTGCTTAGAAGGAAAAGAGTTTGATGCTTGTGTCTTTATTTAACCCCAGATTTCATCAGAGATGATGTTACCGTAAATGATCTTTGATTAAATCTCAGTCACAAATCTGTACGTAACAAGAGAAGTCACAGCAGAGCATGTGTGAAAAAGGGGGACACAAGCCTGTTGTTTCTGAAGCCATGCTGATTCGCTGCTTTCCTCGAAGGGAGTGGTGCTAGGTCTGCTCAACTTGCATTAATGAGAAAACCACTTCAAAGCAGTCTTAACCAACTCCGGCAAAGACGTTGCAGGGTTCCTGAGGATCACTCTTCCACACCACACGCATAGAGCAGCTCTTCCTGTGGAACAGGGCAATGCAGTTCTCTCGGTCGTAGTTGGTGGGTCTGAAAACGCTGTCAGTGAGGAAGATGAAGATGAGGTCAGGACACGAGATATAGGTCGGGGGGGGGGGGGGGAATCATATTTACTGGGTCAAATTCATCCCTGGTGTAACTCCAGTGACTTCAGGGGAAGTGACTTCAGGGATGAATTTAGGCCATAGTACTTGCTGGTGGTATTGACTGGTGCTATGGAAACACAGAGCTCTGATCTCCAGTCCTAGCAGGTGAGTAAAAAAAAAAAAAATGAACTGATTTTTTTCCAATATTTTTTTCACTCAAATGTAATTCTCTGTAGTAGCTTTGCTAGGAATTAAACCTATAGAGCCACATTCACCCCAGACCTGGTGCAGGGCCAGAGTGGAAACAGCATCTGCCTGCCCTGTTCAGAGATTGCCAGGGAGTGGTTCAGCCCTGAGGTCTTTGGGCCACTGCAGGGACACGGAGCTGCCAGCACATAAGAACTGCCCAGGCATGCCCCCTCCTGCCCTTGCTAACTCCCTGCCCCCTCCAGTGGATGGAAGGTTGGGGGAATTGTCTGGGAGGGGGTCCTCACTTACAGCTGGGGAGGACATGGTTTTCCCATCCAGTCACCATTTTCCTGTCTAGAATCGGGACAAAGTCAAAATTTCAAAAATATTTGTGCACCAAAAACCCCGTTTTTTTTCCGTTTTTGGGTCAATCAAAACATTTTGTTTCAATCATTTTGAAACGTCTAGTTTTGATGCCAATTTTTTTGTTCTTTTAACCTTCTTTTCATTCTTGTTAGCTTAAATTTTTAAAGGTGATTTGAACCGGGAAACTGGAATTTTTTGTTTCTAAATGGCAAAGAGCAATGTTTCAAGAGTTTGGAAACTTATTCTCGACCTTGTTTTGAGTTGGGGAAATTTGTCAAACTCAACCCTGTTTTGCAAACAGTTTTGGTTGCACAGAATTGGCATTTTTCAGCCACAAAACAATTTGTCGAAAAATTGTCAACCAGCTGTGACCTTGCTCAGTATTCCTACCACAAGCCCCCTCCAGGGTTTTTTCTCCACACACAGGACAGGACCATCCAGTCCTCTGATAGAATCACCAGCCCAGGACATAATCATAAATCTGGAAGGCACAATCAACCTGGGCAGGGACTCACAATGGGATCGAGAACATGGTTCCTCAACCTAGGGGCCATAATCTCCCTGCCCTTCCTATTTTGGGGGGCACAGAGTCTCAGCTACATACTGGCTAGATAGGAAAGGTGTTCTGGGTGTAGGAAAACGTTGAGAAGAACTGATCTAGAACAATTAGGCCTGAGAGATGCATACAGACAGAACCTTGAGGCTGTGCAGTGCCCCATAGACTGCAAGGGTCAGCACTAAATATCTGTGCCTTATTACATGTTTAGGGCTCCAGAGCTGGACTGATGAGGCAATGCATCTCCAGAAATGAGACAAGCTGCCATAGAGAGGGAGGGCTAAAAATCTGGGGGAAAGGGGATCTGAGATCCTGCTGGTGGCAAAATCAAGAGGAGAGTTAGGAGGAGTAATAGGGAAAAGCTCTGAGCTGTGTGTTTGCAAGTTTGTGGCTGGGTTTCTTTTTCTTCTTCTTCAAAGAAGCCTGGATACAAAAAAGATTGTTCTGCTTTGTCAGAGGTAGAGCTGGATGAAAACCCAGAGACAGGATTTTGCTCCAATTTGTTGAAATGTGAATGCAAAATTTTCACTGAAATTTCTGAATTTGGAAAATTTCAACCTGCCCTTAGGCTTGGTACAAAAGTAGCCCTAGTCTGCTTGGACTTACAGGCTGCAGCAGATCATTGCTCGTGGCTGACATTCGCATCTGAAACAATCCTTGGTCTTCCACACTACACCGAAGTGATACAGCTTTCTGTTTTCAACACAGCCTGGATACACACAACAAAAACAATGCCCAGTAGATGGATGGTGACATTTAGAGGTAAAATACAGGTTGGTGCTGTCAGTTAAAGCTCTGACTACTTGGGTGGAATTACACCAGGGATCAATATGGGCTGTGTTCTATGATGGGATGCAATGCCATTGCTCCTGCAGTGGCTAGGATGTGGACTAGCAAGGTGAAATGTTATCTGCTGCACACCCATCTTTAGCAGAGAAATGCTATTCAAATCATGGCGTGAGGCTGAGAAGTGCTTTAGTTTATGGCTAGTACTACTTTGAGCATCGTTCTGCTACTACTGATACTTCTCTCATAGGGCTAGATGCTGACTTGGACTGTACATCTGAACTATGCTGTGCAGTCCTAGGCATATAGAAATAAGCAGGCCTGACCCCCTACCCCTGTGCCCCCCAAGCAGCTGGGTGGGGGATGGACAGATTATTGTCTCTGGGGTGTCATAATTTATTCCTGTAAGACAGAATCAAATCACTATCCCCCTCCCCTTCCCAGAGCAAAGGAGAAGTAGGGTGGGAATTGGCCTGGGAGGGGTTTCTCCAAGTCACAGCACCTCCCATGGCCACTGTGGGAGTAGTGCGGATTACACAGTCCCCCTTGCTCGGAGCTGGGCCCCAAAGCACAATCTAGCCCATAGTGATTTTCAAGTTCTCAAAGCACTTTAAAGACTTTGGGTGAGATACTGGCCCCATTGCAGTCAATGGGAGTTTTGCTACCAGTAAGTCTAGGATTTTACCCATTAGGTAACAGTGGAAAAGCACCTACATGTGGTAGGCACATAGGTTCAGATGCTTAAAGGTATTTAGGCACCTCTCATCAATGGGAGTATGGTGCCTACATACTTTGAGAATCTGGGTCTTATGTCCTACGGCAACTTAATGGGCCTTGGATGCCTAAGACACTTTGATGCTTTTGAAAATCTAATGAATACTTACAGCAACCCTTGGAAGTAGGTAATATCATGCCCATTTTACAGACTGGGAAACTGAGCCATGGAGCAGTTAAAAGACTCACTCAAGCTATTGCAGCTAGTCAGTAGCAGAGCTAGGAGTAGAAACCAGGTCTCCTGCCACCTAGCCCCTGCCCTGCTCTAAATACTAGGGCATCCCCCCATCCTAACACAATAAAGCAGGCAAGTAGTCCTTCCATTCTGGTTTCCATGTTTGACAATGAGTAGTAATAGAAACAGTGAGGCCAGGACAGAGAGGTGCCAGCTTTTTAGCATATCTTCCTTTTTCTCCCATGTGATATGCTATTTGTTTAGGCAACAACCTCATACCCCAGACTCCACAGAGAAGTCTGCCATGCCTTTCAGTTTGGAAGTATGTAGCTAGCTAGCTGTCTGGCTGGAGACACTCTTATACGACATAGCATCTAACTGCCTATGCATCTTCATCACATTGCAACTGACAGAACAATCCCCACATTTCTAAGCAAGTGATCCTTTCAATCCATTAAATGGAAGTCCTGAGCATGGGTGGAGAATTTGCCATTCTTACCGTATTTGTTTGGGGATCTCATGTAACACTGGGCAGTGCACAGGGACCCCAAGGTGAGAAGGACGAGGAAGAGGAACAGCAGGAACTTCTGGAAGAGAAAGGGAAACTCACTGCAAACTTGGCTGGTTTTTCAATAATAACGTTGACCAGTTCATTCCCACAGATTTAAGGAGGACAAGTCTCATTATTTACAAATAATCAGGAGAACTGCTCCCAAGCACGCAGCCTGCAGTTACACAGACAGCCCAGCCACTGACTTACCATGGCGTAGGCAAGCTTCATGGGCCGCTGGCAGGTTGCTGTGAGGAGCAGTGCGTATTTATAGTCCATGCAGAAACAATGGTTGCTCAAGGGTAAGCAATGAAAACATGAGCTTCCTGCTGAGGCCAAATCATGCCAATGGCCATTCTAACCTGTCCCAATCACTGATCAGAAGGTCTGGCTTTGAGAGGTGTCTTTGGACATGAACTTGAAGGCAAGTGTTACCCATTCACAAATAAAGCAGGGGCACGATTCTGAGCTCAGTTACAGTGGTGTAAATCTGGGGTAACACCAATGGCTACAACAGAATTACTCTGCAGTGACCCCAGTGTAACCAACAGAACCTGTTCCTGCACAGCAATGCTCCCCGCCCTGGCCAGCCATCAAGAAACAGAGGGAAGGAAAGCACATATTATGCAAGGTGGTTTATTATTGTTCATTGACCTGACACAGTGAGAGCTGCACCGACCAGCATAGGGAACAGGGCATTCACGCGGTGCAGCAGCGTGGAGAGACCTCTGTTCTATGACGGATTTATTGATTACACCTCTCAGCTCTTTTATATATGGCGCTTCAGTGGAGTTGTCTCTGAAAGGCCGGACTCCGCCAGGACCTGGAAAGGTGGAGCCTGGCACTGCTAGGTCACTGATTCAAAGCCAGGCTGGGTTGAGAGTGGCTGACAATTGTTACCAGTTGACAGCTGTGAGATGAGCGGTGAGTCTCAGTTCAGCCCCTCAGGGCCAGGGAACTACCTCAGTAGAAACAGCTGTCACAGTTAGGGTGACCACCCACTCCTAAAGGGGTGGGACAGTCCCAAATTGTACATTTCAGGTCCCAGACCCCGGCTGAAAGACTCCGGAACACCATTTGTCTTGGATTCCCTGTGGTGCTGCTCTGCCCCTACCCAAGGCTCAGGGATGGCGCTAGCCTCTTCCCAGTGGGGGGGGAGGCTGCTGAGATGGACCTTAACATGCCCTTGCCATAAGGTCCTGCCCCCTGCTCCTCCTCTCCCCCCTGAAGCCCCGCCCCTGTCCAGGCCAGAAGCCAGACCTGAGCAGTAAGAGTCAACCAGGGAGCCTGGGCCACTGTAGGGAGCCCCAGAGTCCCAGATCCTCCACTTGCCCTGGGTGGCACACCCTTGGGGGCAGGGACACAGGCCTGGGGCTGCTCTTGGGCATCCCAGCACCCCGCCCAGGGCAGATGGAGGGTTCAGGGCTTCCCAAAGCAGCCTGGGCTCCTTGGGCAGCTCTTACCATGGCCCGGTTCTGGCTTCCAGCCTGGCCAGCGGGTGGGGCCTCAGGGAAGAGGAGGAGCAGGGGGTGTGGCCACAGAGGGGGCAAGGCTCCTGCATGTGCCCTGTTTTGCATTTTGAAAAGGTGCTCACCTTAGTCACAATGGGCTCTCTTCCTGCCAATCACAGCAGAGAGGCGGAGCCCAAATTCCCGGCTCTCTTCCATAGAGCTGGTCATTCCCGAAGGAGATACCGGTACGTTGGCAGGACCATCGTACTGGCTGTGGGATAAAGGGAGGCCTTCACTCTGCAGGGCAAGCTCTCTGCTAGCTTCCCCTGACAGACACTCATGTTGAACATTTAACCCCAGTCGTTTTTGTTTTCTCCCCTGAACTGAGGTGACCCCAGTTCCTTTTAGGCACCTCCCACCTGCATGGGAGAGCATATGGCAGCCATGCTCCAGAAGCTGTACTGGCTATTCACCACTGTCTGGTAGGGTTGCCAACTTGGTAATATTTAAAAACTGGGACACTCCAGCAGGAGTGCCGGAACTTCCCCTGCCCCACCTCTTCCCCCCAAAGCCCCACCCCGTCCCACCTCTTTCCCTGAGGCCCTGCCCCCCGTCCACTCCTCTTCCCCCCTTCCCCCATCACTTGCTGCTTTTCCCCTCCCACCCCCACCCCAGGTCAGGAGGGACTTGCCTGTGGAACCGGGGCTGGGAGCTGCAGCTGCCCGACAAAGGTAGGAGGCGGCCCCGGCTGAGTAGGGTCTGGCGCAGGTGATGACCCAGTGCCTCCCTGCCTCCCCTGCCTGCAGTAACCGGACTTCGGGCATCTGGTCTGATGCCCTGTTCCCTATGCCAGTAGATCTGACCAAACACTGTCAGGTCCCCTTTTCAACAGGAGATTCTGGTCAAAATCCGGACGTCTGGCCACCTTAGTCTCTGGGTGGAGTTTAAGGTGTTGGTTGTAACCTAGAGAGTTCTAAATGGCCTGGCACCAGCCTGGCTGTGGGATCACTACTCTCCCCAGGCCATACTGCCAGAGCTGGGGTCAGCAGCTGTGCATGAGCCGGATTCCCCTCTTTATAAAAGAGAAGGGGCAGCTGGCAAGGTGTCTGCTGGGATGGTTCCCCAGTTCTGGAACATGTTCCCCACCCCTGGGTTTGAAATAGCCTGGATCTGGTGACTTTCTGGGCACACTGCAGAAGACACTTGTGTGAGACGGGTGTTGGAGAGGGCCGAGGTGGTGATGATGATGGGGTGCAAAGGAGTTTTAAAGGTAACTGGCTGACTGAGCTTCTTCTGAACTGGTCATCTGAATGCCGCTGGGATGGACAGTGTATTGTTAATGGTGTGTCAGCCTGGAGCCTTGGCTAGGCATCATTTTATTCATTTTTAAATAGAAATAAATATTTACCACTATGTTTACGATAGTATTGCCTAAGGGCCAACTGGGGACAGGGCCCCCCTGTGCAAGGCACTAGCACCTAGCTCTTATATGGTGCTTTTCACCCATAGCTCTCAAAGAACTCAGTATCATTACCTTCATTTTGCACATGGGGAAACTGAGGCCCGGGGCTGTGACATGACTTTCCCACAGTCACTCAGCAGGCCAGAGGCTTAGAACACATGTCTGCTGAATCCATAGCACTTTAGCTAGTCCCTTCCCCAAGGAGCTTGCAGGTTAAATACACAAGACAGGCAAAGGGGGCAGGGGGCAGAGTGATCAGCATATTAGTGCCACCATTTGGGGGCAAAGTTGGAGGGTTTGGGGGGATTTTTGTTTGTTTGCTTTTGTTTTTTAGCTTCTGTTTGCTTTTGTTTTTTGGGGTTTAGCTCAGAGGAGATTAGCTGAAGACAAAGGAAAAGAGTGTGGGGGGGAGTCAAGGGACAGGGCGGGGGAGCAGGGAGGGTATTCAGCATAGGGGAGAGGGACAGCAATGGAGTCTGTGTGGCTGCCAGGGTCAGTCAGCTTGCTGGACGGGGGCTTTGGTGCAACACATTTTCCATGGTACTGGGTAGCTCAAGGCAGAATAGGCTGCCAGCCTCCCATCAGCCTGTATTGCCCGCCAGGTCTGGGGGCTTTGATTGAGACACCTGAGCTCAGTAGAGCCCATATGATTGACAAGAGATTAGGCCAACCTGCCGGTGAGGGGAGAGGTGAAAGAGCTGTGGTGGAGGTAAGGCTTTGTATAAAAGCAGTGACTGGGGGCAGGTATATATCTGCTGGTGGACTGGAAGCAGAGAGGAGGATAGAATTGTGGTAGGAGCTAGTGGTGAGTACAGCTTTTGTAAGTCTGTCAGGAGGTGGGGAGGATTAAAGCAGGAAGCTCTAGTTCCTCTATGTTATTTGCCTTTTTGCTCTTGCAGTGTGTGGTGAGGCTAGCAGCTCTGTATTGTGCTGGTGTTTTGTGGCTTGTTCCCTGTGCTTGGCTTTGTTCTGAGCAACAGCTCTTCTGAAGGGCCTTGTCAATTCTTCTCTCTATAAACTGTAGAGGGACAACATCAGTTTAAACTTGGTGTAAACCTTGTGGTGGTAGGTAGTTTTATGTTTTCAAATCAAGCTCTCTATAGAGCCAAATGCTTGGTGAAATGTCTTTACAAACTGTTCTTGAAACCTTCCAATGCAAACAGTCCTCTTTAAATTAAACCTTTCCTGCAGTGTTTGACACCCTGATGTTGCAGCACTAAGAAATTGATTACTTATAGACCCGACTACTTAAATGGAGAGACATGCAGATGGTGACCAGAAGTAATGATAGAGATCTAAAAACTCCTTGTCTATCACTAGCTTAAGACAATGGCTCACAAAACAACTCTGCCTGAAGTTGTTCTCATCCTTTAAAATATAAAAGGCTGGGATAGCTTTTTCTCTTCTATTGGATTATGCTCCTCGGTGTCTGGGAGCTGGTGTAAGTTGAAAGAAAAGGAGTACTTGTGGCACCTTAGACTAACCAGTTTATTTGAGCATAAGCTCTCATGTGCTACAGCTCACTTCATCGGATGCATTCAGTGGAAAATACAGTGGGGAGATTTATATACATAGAGAACATAAAACAATGGGTGTTACCATACACACTGTAACAAGAGTGATCAGGTAAGGTGAGCTATTACCAGCAGGAGAGTGGGCGGGGGGGGGGGGGGAAGACATCTTGTAGTGATGATCAAGGTGGGCCATTTCCAGCAGCTCTCAAGAATGCCTGAGGAACAGTGGGAGGAGGGGAATAAACATGGGGAAATAATTTTACTTTGTGTAATGACCCATCCACTCTCAGTCCTTATTCAAGCCTAAGTTAATTGTATCCAGTTTGCGAATTAATTCCAATTCAGCAGTCTCTTGTTGGAGTCTATTTTTGAAGTTTTTTGTTGAATTGCCACTTTTAGGTCTCTAATCGAGTGACCAGAGAGATTGAAGTGTTCTCCGACTGGTTTTTGAATGTTATAATTCTTGACGTCTGACTTGTGTCCATTTATTCTCTTAAGTAGAGACTGTCCAGTTTGGCCAAAGTACATGGCAGAGGGGCATTGCTGGCACATAGCACATTGGTAGATGTGCAGGTTTTCCAGCTCTTGCTGAAACTTGTGGTGCTGTCTGTCCCCAAGATATGAGAGTTGTGCTACTTAATGGCTGAAATTAAGTCTAACTATCATGAGATAAAACTAGCTTTTGACATGGTAGGCTTAAGCATGGTGTGTTAAATAACACTCTTCTAGCTAGGGTAATTATACCCCATTATGATATCTGAAAACCCCAATCTTCACTGACATTCTTGTGAGGTAGGGCAGAGGCGAAGGCTCATGCCACAAAGGGCCTGAGGTGTTGACATCCTTCTAGGCACCTAGAAAAATCACAGGAACAACACTGCAATCCACCAGTCCTGAATTAGGCACCTTGACTCAATACAGGGAGAGTCAAAGCCTTGGACTGTGAGCCACCAAAGCAGCATACTAGGTGGGGCTCAGGCTGTCTAAGGTAGGCACTAGGAGGTGCTGATGAGGGATATGTCCTAAGCCCTGCCCCTCTCCTGGAGATAGATGCCTCCCTGCAGAGCAGACTGAGGCAACTCGCACTGTGTAGGGAATGGGAACTCCCCCTCTGGGCTTAAGCACCTCCAGCATTTCCTGGGGTAATAAGTTAGGAGCCTGCCTTGCCCCCCACAAAACAGCAACAGGCAGTGGTGATGCTCTCTTATAAAGCTTATCCCAGTGGTTCAAGTGCTCACCTGGGATGTGGGAGACCCCTGTTCAGATCCTCTCAGGTGGGTGCTCTGCTCAGTGGGCTAGAGAGAAATAGTGACTCTATCCCCTAATGCCTCTACTCTACTTGCGCTATATTGATGACATCTTCATCATCTGGACCCATGGAAAAGACACCCTTGAGGAATTCCACCATGATTTCAACAATTTCCATCCCACCATCAACCTCAGCCTGGTCCAGTCCACACAAGAGATCCACTTCCTGGACACTACAGTGCTAATAGCAATGGTCACATAAACACCACCCTATACCGGAAACCTCCTGACCGCTATTCCTACCTACATGCCTCCAGCTTTCACCCTGACCACACCACACAATCCATTGTCTACAGCCAAGCTCTGCAACACAACCGCATTTGCTCCAACCCCTCAGACAGAGATAAACACCTACAAGATCTCTATCAAGCATTCTTACAACTACAATACCCACCTGCAGAAGTGAAGAAACAGATTGATAGAGCCAGAAGAGTTCCCAGAAGTCACCTATGACAGGACAGGCCCAACAAAGAAAATAACAGAACGCCACTAGCTGTCACCTTCAGCCCCCAACTAAAACCCCTCCAACTCATTATCAAGGATCTACAACCTATCCTTAAAGACGACCCAACACTCTCTCAAATCTTGGGAGACAGACCAGTCCTTGCCTACAGACAGCCCCCCAACCTGAAGCAAATACTCATCAGCAACCACACAACAGAACCACTAATCCAGGAACCTATCCTTGCAACAAAGCCCGTTGCCAACTGTGCCCACATATCTATTAGGGGACACCATCACAGGGCCTAATCACATCAGCCACACTATCAGAGGCTCGTTCACATCCACACCTACCAATGTGATATAGGCCATCATGTGCCAGCAATGCCCCTCTGCCATGTACATTGGGCAACCTGGACAGTCTCTACGTAAAAGAATAAAGGGACACAAATCAGATGTCAAGAATTATAACATTCAAAAACCAGTCAGAGAACACTTCAATCTCTCTGGTCACTCAATTTATGATCTCAAAGTGACTATCCTTCAACAAAAAAACTTTGAAAACAGACTCCAACAAGAGACTGCTGAATTGGAATTAATTTGCAAATTGGATACAATTAACTCTTTATAATGACTCAACCATTCCCAGTCTCTATTCAAGCCTATTTCCCCTTGTTTATTCCTCCCCCCTCAGACGTTCTTGTTAAACCCTGGATTTGTGCTGGAAATGGCCCACCTTGATTATCATACACATTGTAAGGAGAGTGATCACTTTAGATAAGCTGTTACCAGCAGGAGAGTGGAGTGGGGGGAGAGCACCTTTTGTAGTGCTAAACACCCATTTTTTTTTCATGGTCAGTGTGTATAAAAACCTCTTCTGTATCTTCCACAGTATGCATCCGATGAAGTGAGCTGTAGCTCACAAAAGCTTATGCTCAAATAAATTGGTTAGTCTCTAAGGTGCCACAAGTACTCTTTCTTTTTGCGAATACAGACTAACACAGCTGCTACTCTGAAATCTATCCCAGTGGTTAGGGCACTGTGGCAGGAGACCCAGAATCCATGCTCTGCACTCTTTCATAACACTGATTGTTAAAGAACAGTAGAAGGCTCTTGGTGCCTACCAGCAGGGTCTACACAAACCAGTTAATGTGTGACACTATAGAAATCACACCTCTAGTGGGCATTCATGCCCTGTGTAGACAAACCCCTAAATACACCTCTCCAGGACTCTGTATGTTAGCTGACACATGATCAATCCACTGTGATCAAGAAACAAGTCAAAACAGGATGCCCTGTGGCACCAGTGTAAATACACTGCACCCTCTTCCCCTGGGGAGCATGAGTGAGCTGGCAATACACCCTTTGTAGTGCTCATTGTTAATGGAACATGGCTTGAGTTAAAATTTGTCTCAACTCCTCCTGACACAGCTTGCCTGTCTGCTCTCTGCTACAAACTGGCTGTAGTGTGATGGCCAAGCAACCTAAAGCTGCATCTCCTTTTATCTGATATCCCCGCCTGCCTGCTGCTACTCTTATGCTTTCTGGATGTGTAGTATTGGAATGGCTCCTAATGAATCTCTCTAGATAACCTTGACTTAAGCTGCCTGCTGCTTCAGTTCTAACAAGCCTGCTAGATGGGAGTGCAGGGGAGAACAGAGGCACTTCTTCAGGTCTGGCTCTAGTTTTTCCCCTTACACAGCTACTGTATTTATCAGTGGAGCTGGTAACACAACTTTTTAAATAGCCTAATTAAAATGCTTCTCTTTCCAGCATAGAGCTGGGGGATTAATTCTCAAATAGGCACAAACTTTGCAAAACTTTTCACTCTATGGCTTCCAGGGAGGTGAAGTAGAGAGGTGGTGGTGCTATGCATCCATCTCTTAACCAACAGAGCTTTGTACCAGTTCCTCCTTAGACCCCAAACTGCCAAGATTTCAATGGCAGTTAGATTCCTAAATATCTCTTGAGGATCTGGGGCCATGACACCAGAGACTAACTCAAGCCATAGAACTCTGACACTGGCCTCTAAGGAAATGTCTTGGCTTCAAGCTGGGGGTGGGGTTCCCAGCTCAAGAAGGTTCTGACTTTCTGAGCACCTTGCTTCCACGTGTCCTTGGTCCTGAATCTTCTGTGGGTCAATTGCCTAGCAACACAAGCGCATGCCTCCAGGCCTATGCAGGCTGCACGGTTACTCTGAGGTTGGGGTGCGCCCGTCACTAACCTGTAGTGTCCAGCCGCTGGCGTAGACCCTGGTGGACATTTGTGGTATACGCTGATTCACTGCTTCCAAAGAAACCATTCATTGCAGCTTACCAGTTCCACCTCAGATCACTACTCCACTTAACACACAGCACTGCGTTGCTTGTAGTGAAATGAAGTATGTTTATTTAGCAAAGCATGCAGGTAGAAGTATTGGAAACAAATGGTTACATATGTCACAATCATAAAGCATTCTAGAGCAATTTAATTGGTTACTCTGTCACGTAGAGTATCATTATCGCTCACCCAAAAGCCTTGTAGTGCTTTACAGTCAAGCTTGCTGGGACCCTCCTTTTATGAGACAGATATGCTGTCAGTTTGTCTCCCAGGTATAGGATTCAGTGTGTCTCTTTGCACTCCAGGATATACCAGACCAATCATTCCTCTTCCTTCATAAACAAGTCACGCCCACCCCAGCCGTTTTGTTTCTTCTTGTTGATATCATCTCAAGGGCTTTGCACTCAATTCACCCTGGCTCTGTATGCAGACACCCTCCCAGCATGAGGTGTACAATACACAAATAGCCAGACATGGAGATAGGTGTCTGGTCTCTACTGCCTGGAAGAGACATCACCAAAGTATGTCCCCCTCCTGGTGACTTGCTTTAACTCAAAGACCTTAAGAACACTATTTTCAGAATAGTTTTACATCCCATAGCTATTATCCAAACATACATTTTGCAATGAGTGACAACCAGCAGGTTGCTGGCTCTCAGTAGAAACCTTCCACGTCAATCTTTGGTGAATGACTATGCAGATATCTGACCCAGGGATCCCTGTAAAACACAATGCAACCCCTCTGTCAGCTGGTACTAAAGGATCCCAGAGCCAGAGGCATATCCATGTTAGCTCTGATCAAGCCAGTGCACTAAACTGAATATAGGTGTAGAAGCATGAGCAGTGCAAGGGGCTAGCCATGCAGAGTGTGGATATCTAATATCTCTGCTGGATATATACTTACAGCAGCTAGCCCTTGCTGCAGTGGCTCAGTATTATTTTTAGCACACACGTGTGGCACCTTGAGCTGGAAATTCTGCTCCAAGTATAAATGTACCCTGACACTCTGAAGTCTGGTGCTGTTCAGAGCTGAAAAGCACAGCTTTGCCAGTCAGTAAATGTGGACTTGGTCTGTAAGTTGCTTGTCACTTGACTTTGTACTCCTTGATTTTAATTAATAGTAAGTACAAAGGTGGGACTCTGCTCTTTGACTAAAATGCTTGAATAAGATCTGACCTGGCACAGAAATGGAGGAGGATGGGAGGGGGAACTCTAATGCTGTAGCTGACTTATGTCACTGACTGTCTCCATCCATTTCTAGATCATTCATACAAGGGAGCATAGGTCCAACACTCAATCTGTCCGGGGCCAAATGTGGGAGGCCCAAAATGTTCACTCAGAAAACATAAAAGTGATTGCATTTTTACCTCTAGGGTGAATAACTTTCTACTGTCTTAGCATTATGAGCATCTGTTTGGTGCCCTTTCACTTATGCAAACAATGTCAAATTTCAATGGCATGTAGGGGACTCTAGGACTAAAATGTTCAACACCGGAGAGTAATGAACAGAACATGCCTTGGAAACATCTGCTTATGAGTAAATGACTCTATTGCTTATGCCTTACAACAATAGTGAGCCTGTCTGGCAGAACAGGAGTGAAGCTGTTCATCCGGCTGTGATAGGTAGATCTCTTCCTGACCCCCTCAAAAGATCCCTTCCAGCGATGTGACTCTGTTCTCTCATTTCAGTTCTCTATCTTCAACACACAAGGCCGTGGGGCCCCTTCGCATCAGACCATTGAACTCCCGTAGCAGCAATGGATGTCTTCTTGATGATCCGTCGCCACAAAATGACCATCTTTGCTGATGCCAAGGAGACTACCACTGTGCAGGAGCTGAAGAAGATTGTGGGGGGCATCCTGAAGAGGCCTCCGGAGGAGCAGCAGCTATACAAGGATGACTGGTTGCTGGAGGATGGTGACAGGACCTTGATAGAATGTGGGTTAAGCAGCCAGACTTCCCGTCCCCATGCGCCAGCCATGGTGGGCTTGGCCTTATTCAGAGCCAGTGAGGGCTCCTTTGAGCCATTGCACATTGACCCCTTCTCCAGCACCCCTGAGCTGCCTGATGTTTTGAAGCCTCAAGATTCTGGCAGCAGCTCTGGCGAGCTGCCCATGCAGTGAAACCAGAGTCCGCTGTTCCATCACATAGACATGGTGCTGATCATGCACCAGTCACTGCTGTGTGCTCATTTCACTTGCAGCATTTGAAAACATTATGCCTTGACTAATAAAGCTTTGCTGTTAAACTTCTCTGGGGTGCCAACATCTTCTGTCTCAGTCTCTAGAGAGCCAATTGACAATGATTGTTTGGCTTCCTTGTGTCTTAACTTTTGTGGAGAGGTGGTGGGGTGTGACAGTCTAGGCAGCAAACTCTTAAACCTCCTTGTCCAGCTCAATGTCCATAGACTTAACCTCAACATTTACTTCCAAGAACAATGACATGAACAAACTCTACAGACAACTGGCATGGCCAGCTTTCCTATGGGGAGTCTTGTTATATTTTGTGTCTTTTTCCTAAAGTCCCAACTTCTGGAATCATGTGACCACGTCAGAATCTTCTAGACTTCAAATTGTGGAGAGACGCTTGAAAAAAGGTTAACCCTGATGGCTGAAATACTAGGCAAACCACCACCAAACCTCATGATAATTTTCAAGCCCATCTCCTGACATTCTGGAAGCTGCCTCAGGACTCAGCGAGCACCCAGGTGGTAATATTGTACCAGTACAATGTATGTGGTAACAAAACTCTTCACTCTAAAGGTCAGCTCCTAATTGAGAGGAGCTGTTTGACAAAATTATTCAACCATTGAAGAAAATTAACATGCTGGCTACTCAACAGGGGATCCTAAACTAAAATGATAGGAAAAACAATCCACGTGCATCCTCCCACCCTAGAGAGATCCAGGGAGATGAGCCTCTGACAGAAGTGCAACTATTCTAGCTTGGTGCTGATCTTGGGGAACAAGAAAATATCAGCATTCAATGAGAGAGCTAGAGATGACAGATTGCAAATTAGACCGGGGAGTGTGTAATGATGGCAGCAGAAGGGTCAGTACAGCTGGGGGCTGTAGAGGCATTGCCTGGTGTGACAGGGTAAGAGCATCTCCTAGCTGGCTCAGGTAGAACCACCTCTGGATTGACATTCTTGGTATCTCACTGGCCAAGGGAGGTAGCTCTGAGGAGACAGACACTTCATTAGCAGGTTGGAGGGAATCACTTGTACATGCCTAATGCTTAGCATTCCTTTGCTCTTTACTTGGAGAAGATGTGATGTGGTAAGTCTACAGCCAGGTGGTTGGGGGGGATGGGAAGAGATAGTCTAAAGTTGTCTGGAGCCCCCTTCTAATAGAAGTATCTGGGTGTAAAAGCTCTGGGGTGAGGGAGGGGAGACCTTTTAACTGCTTTGGGGGGAGACATAGCTAGAAGCAGACTTGCTTTCTTAGAAAATGCCTGAAGCAGGAGGCTGACAGGACTATGGAACTGTCTCTCTAAAGGAAGTGGTGACAGACCTATGACTTGGTACATTCATGCCTAGAGCAGACACTGGAAACTACACCTCTAGGGGCCCAAATTAGAAGGGGATGGCAGAATAAAACCATAACAGCTCTAGCTGTAATCACTTGATTTAACTAGTATAGTGGGATTTCATTCTCTTCCTTTGACTCAGATTGGTATGACAGGGAATTTGCTTTTTAGAACCATGACTCTTCTAATTGTGTTCTGCTCCCCTTGCCCTAGGCTGAGTTTTGTGCTAATATTTTAATTCCTGAATTAAGTTTTTTGAAGTGAGATGTTGCTGCTTTGTCATCCTCCCACTCTGCTCTAAGGTGCAATTCATCCTGGTCATTCTTCTGGGCTAGAACAGTCATCACAACTCCCCCTATATCTGCTTGGAGGCTTTCTTAAGTACAGGTTTCAGAATAACAGCCGTGTTAGTCTGTATTCGCAAAAAGAAAAGGAGTACTTGTGGCACCTTAGAGACTAACCAATTTATTTGAGCATAAGCTTTTGTGAGCTACAGCTCAACACATCTTTTAAAAAAAAAAATGCAGGCCCTGATCCTGCAAGCATTCACCATGTCAACCACATCTAAATGCAAATAAAACTACCATGTTCTCAGTTCAGCAATTGTATGTCAACAAGAGCAGGGTCTGGGTTTGCAAGTAGGGTTTGGGAAATACTACAGTACAGAGCAAAGGTGCCATCTAGTGGCTCTGAGGCAAGTAGCTCTCAAACTATATATAGGTTTCAGAGTAGCAGCTGTGTTGATCTGTACCTGCAAAAAGAACAGGAATACCTGTGGCACCTTAGAGACTAACAAACTTATTTGGGCATAAGCTTTCATGGGCTAAAACCCAATGAAGATGAGCTATTATCAGCAGGAGGGGAAAAAAAACTTTTGTAGTGATCAAGATGGCCCATTTAGACAGCTCACAAGAAGGTGTGAGGATACTTAATGTGGGGGAGGGAAATAGATTCAATATGGATAATAACCCAGCCATTCCCAGTCTATATATAACTATAGATAGCAGTTCAAATATTTAGAACAGAGATGGATACAGAGGCCAGTGAGGTTTGAGACCTATTGCGTTTGATGGCTCATGTTTTATCCTTTCTCTGGCTCCCCAGAGCCAGTGTGCCCTTCCTTGCTGGGATGAAACAGTCTCCTATTCCCTCATGCACTGGAAGGAGGGGTGGACCACTAGCAATAGACTCCTCTACAAAGGAGGCAGTGAGGAAGCAAGTTCACCCATCAGAAGCAAAATACTGTCATCCAGGACTGATCCCATCATACATCAAAATTATTATGGCTTAAGAGCTATGCATTGCTTTGTTACAATATGATTCTCAAGGGTTGACTATGCCTTAAAATTATAAGGCACATTTTGTCATAATAAATATGCCTCAGAAAAGGGACTTGTGGCTAAATCACCCAGCTCTTAACTTCACAGCTCTTGAGAGGGTTGACTTTCCTCCTCACCTGGTAGCTGCAGGATTCCACGTCAAAAACAGACTCGCAGTTCTCTTGGTCGTAGCCAACGGGGTTGAGAGCTCTGCCATGGGGAAAGAGAACAAACAGCAGGGTCAGAGCAACAGAGCACCTGCATCATCTGTCTCCCCCCAAAGGCTGGGAGAAAAGCCCCCCCAGGCTGCTGTGCTCTCTGTAAGTACTCTGGCAGCAGGAGAGATTCTAAGAGCTGCTGCTGGGCCTTGAGATTTCACCTCTTCTTTCTCCATCCTTCCTCTCTTCTCCTCCCCCCCCCCCCCCCCAAATAAATTCCTTTCACCCTCTTGATTAGTTGTGTGCCCCTATGATGTGGTGGTTTTACATCTGAAACTAAAACTCCTCTACCTTTTTGGAGTAGGGTCACTGTAAGCTTTTGCAGTTTCTCTTTGTTCTGCCCTTATCTTCTGCCCCACTCTCCTTCTCTGCATTTCAGGTGACTATCAACTTCAGCACTGGTGCAGTGAGGGCGTGTGTGTGTGTGTGTGTGTATCCCCTACAGTGTTTGAGGGGAAAACATTAACTGGAGTCAGAGCAATTAGTGCCGCAGGTTGGGGCCATGCCCAATTTAGGATTAGTCCCCGCTGAAAGGAATAGGGTGACTGCTAAGGGAAGCACTTTAAGGCAGAAGAAGGGAGGCAAGAGACCCAGAGGGAGAGTAGGCTGTGGGATGCTCCCTCAAGAAGGGGGCTCTGGCAAAAGGGCTTGCAGAGCCCCTGGGGAAGGACAGGAGAGGAAGGATCTCCTTTTTGTCCAGGCTCACCCCAGGGTTGGGCACTCTGGAGGTAGCCTGGGAACAGGCAGACAAGGAGTTGGGCCTCCCCCAGGAAAGTGCTGGAAGAGCAGGAAAGTGCTACAGAGCCCAGGATGGGGTGAAGAGTCAGCAGAGGAGTGAACCCAGGAAGGGGCTGGGGAAAAGGGGCCTACAGTCAGGCAGAACAGAAAGTGATCCAGGGAGGCAGCAGACTTTAGCTACTTGCAATGGAATCATAGAAGTGTAGGACTGGATGGGACCTCGAGAGGTCATCTAGTCCAGTCCCTGGAACTCAAGGCAGGACTAAGTATTATCTAAATGATTCCTGATGGGTGTTTCTGTCTGATCTGTTCTTAAACTTCCGCTGATGGAAAGTTCACAACCTCCCTAGGCAATTTGTTCCAGTGCTTAACCACCCTGACAGCAAGTTTTTCTTAACTTCCAACCTAAACCTCCCTTGCTATGATTTAAGCCTATTGCTTGTCCTAACCTCAGAGGGTGACCATTTTCACCCCCCTCCTTTTATGAACTTAAACTGTTATGCCCCTATCCCTCAGTCTTCTCCAGATTACATACCCAATTTTTTCAGTCTTCCCCTTCTAGACCTTTAATCACTTTTGTTGCTCTTCCCTGGACTTTCTCCAATTTGTCCACATCTTTCCTGAAATATGGAGCCTAGAACTGGACATACTACTCCAGCTGAGGCCTGATTAGTGTGGAGTAGAGTGGAAGAATTGCTTCCTGTGTCTCATTTACAACACTCCTGCTAATACATCCCAGAATTGTTTTGGTTTTTTGGTTTGTTTTTGCAAGTGTTATTGACTCATATTTAGCTTGTGATCCACTTTGACCCCCAGATCCTTTTCCGCAGTACTCCTTCCTAGACCGTCATTTCCCATTCTATATATATGCGACTGACTGCTCCTACCTCCGTGGAGTACTTTGCATTTGTCCTTAGTAAATTTCATCCTATTTACTTCAGACCATTTCTCCAGTTTGTCCAGATCATTTTGAATTTTAATCCTATCCTCCAAAATCCTTGCAACCCCTCCCAGCCTGGTATCCTCCTCAAACTTTACACGTGTACTCTCTATGCCATTATCAGGGCTGGAACCCACAGTGGAGGCAGGGCCTGGGTTCCCCCTACAGGCCACTCAGGATGGTGGTGTGAAAGTATCCTAATATAAGTGGATTAGGGACCAACATGCTCTGAAAGCCTTGTGGACTGTTTGGGTTTTTGGGAGGGAGAAGGGGGCCCTGTTACCTCCAGAAGTGGTGGAACAGAGGATGACCTGGCTAGAGGGTCGAGTCACAAGAAGAAGCACACCATTGAAGTGCTGGAATGGCCATCCACAGGGGGAG